TGCCTGAATTGCTGTGTGAGTTCACGGTTTCAGGCTAGCCCCTAAGAAAGCTCTGTCTTCTGCACACATAAGCTTTAACTTTATTGTACAAGTTCCATTGTGCTAAAGGAATTAAGTTGTTGAATACAGTCTTCATCCTGGAGCTTTATTTCTGATGCCCATGCATCTCTTCTAGGGGCCTGTGTTCTGGGCATTGCATTGTTTTAGGGCTGGTCTACACTAGGGATTTACATCAGCTTACTAGGCCTCTCAGGGTGTGAAAAATCCAACCCCCAGATTTGTAGCTATGCTGCCCTAACCCCAGGTGTAGGTAGTGCTAGATACCTGCAGCCAGGGGTGAACCCTTCCTGTCAGTGTTGGTAGTGTCTGCTGAACTGAAGCACTGCTGCAGCTGTACTGCTGTAGTGTTGTAAGTGTAGACATACCCTCAGTCTGACCTGGGGAAGGAGATGTAGTTTTGCAGTGTTTTTCATTTTCTTATTAAAACAATAACAAGTAGAGTCATTTCCTTAATTCTTTAAAATATGAGAGGCAGACCGTTTTTATCTAATGGTAAGTTTGCATGAATTGGGAATCAAGCCTCCTGGGTTCTGTTCCTGAGTCTGTCACTGTCACTCTGTGTCGTATGGGACAAGTCATGTAATCTCTGCCTTGTTTCCATCTGTTAAAATGGGTATAATACTTAACAGGGTTCTTGTGTGGCTTGTTGAGCACTTTTTAAAGTACTTTGAACTTGTGTGGAAGGTACCTCATCTTTGCCTTTCATTCTTGACTATGGTTTTATTACTCTGCATTTCCCCAGGCTATTTAAAAGACATACTATAAAATCATACATTGTGAACAAAGCTTACGTTTAAATCACTAAGTGGAATGCATCAATTTAAAACTATTTGTCAACTTTTCCACTTGTGCTTCAGTTATTTTTTGAAGAAAGGTAAATCAACATGCTTTAATGGTTATAGCTAAATAGAACTGTTGTGCTATATTTGATGCATCTTTTGCTACCTAGGATGGTACACTATAAATATATACATTTAAGCAATTATGTAGTTCAGTATTTTTACATTCTTATTAATTGTACATTTTAGTATGTTAGAAAATGGTGAAAGATGATTTACTAGATAATTAACATTTGGCTCATGATTTGTGTCAAGCTGCATTAGAATGGTAACTGCAATTTAATTCAACACACACAACAGCATTTAAAATGTATTTTATTAAACATAACAAGCCCTTAATACGGTGCATAACTTATTGTGCCATATTTATAAAGCTTCACCTCAAAAATTAGATTTTTCCCCCCACCTGATTCTTTTTTTGTATAGAAAAGCAGCATTTAAGTCAGTTTTTGATAGAGGTTCCTGGATTCAGCATATTTATTTTTGTATTTAAATGTTTTAAGAGATTATAATTTATGCTTTAACAGAATTTGCATTACATTTGGATTTCATTTTAAACAGGTTTATTTAGAGAAAAAACACTATAATTTAAATAACAAAAAACTTTGTTTTTTATCCACCCTGTGTGTTACTACTAATGGCCTACTGTCTTAAAAGTGATTTCTCTCAGAAAAAAAACACTTATTTATGCTGTTAGGTACTGTGTACATTTCTCAGTTTGGACAATGGAAAATTAATTAATCCAGTATCATTTTTGTGTTTAGTTAGTGTCTTGTTTCTTGTGCTGCAGTGTTTGAACTGTTAAAAGTTCCTGTTGGCCTTAGGTTTATAAAAGCTTAATTTTGTGAGGGATAAACTTGGTTCAGTCTAAAATCATGTAGTATTTTCAACCAGCATTCATTGTTTAATCTGTAGTATGGGATTTTGTTTTTCTTTAAAAAACCAAAACAAAAAGTCTAGAGAACCACCTCTGTCTAGACATAGGGATGAACTTCATGACCTGAGGTTCCCCTTCTCCTCCCCCAATCCCTGATGATTTTCATTCTGAGTCCAAATATTCCCTTCCAATCATTACTACTGCTTTTTTTTTCCTTTGTAAAACATTCACCATAATGTAGCAGTCTGAACATTGTCATCTAGCGTATTAGTACTTGGCTACAGAGACTCATGTTCAGGTCAATGATTCAGATATGAAATAGGATGGTGACTATGGAATGTCTGAAATGAATTGGTCTCGGTTCCATTCCCAATGGCTTAGGTATCCACATTGTAAAACACATTTTCACAGTGGCACCATTTATTGGTAGTCTCAGAAAAGAGGCTAACAAGTGAATGCACAAGCTGTTCCTCCAGGTTAGAATTGAGGCATGCTGGAAGGCTAATGTTAGGAAGGCTGTGTTGCTTGTGATCCCTGTACAAAAGCTATATTATGTTGATTTAGAGAAGACTTTGGCTGCTGTTCTAGCAGTTTTCATGAACGCTGAACTCTTAGGGAAAAAATCTTCTATCCCTCTCTGAAGACTTAATGATAAAATGTCGCAGCCCACGATGCTCACTGTTCACCCACCCAACACAAAGCAGGTAAGGGCAACTTTGTGTCATGAATTGCTTCTCTTGATGGCACTGATATGGATATTGGTATGGAGAGGGCATAAGTTGGAATACCAGGGAAGTTGCCACAGGAGGCCAAAGAATAAGCAACCCTAGAGAATAGGAAATTACTTATCCAAGTGTGGCTTCTGAATGTGTGTCTGGTACATGACTAGCTAACCTTGCAGTCTTTGATTCTTCTTTCCATAAAATTTAATTTTGATCAAAAAACTTTAGGGTACATCTGCACTGCAACTGGAAGGTGTAATTCCCAGCTCAGGCTGACGTACTTGTGCTAGCACTGATTATGGTAGTTTGCTAAAAATAGCAATGCGGTCATAGCAGAATGGGTGGTGGCAGTTTGACTAGCCACCTCACTACATACCTAAGGTCTCAGACAAGATTGTACTCAGGTGGCCGCCCATATTACCATGATCAGACTGCTGGTTTTAGAGCATTCGCTTGATCAGAGCTAGTGTGTTAGGCCAGTTAAAAAGCTTCAACTGATGCAGCTGCGCTGCTGTAGCACTTTAATGAAGATGCTCTAAGCTGATGGGAGAGAGCTTTCCTGTCGGCATAGTTAATCCAACTCCCCGAAAGGTGGTAGCCATGTTGATGATGGGTTAGGTCGGTATAACTAAGTCATTTGGGGGTGTGGATTTTTCAGATCCCTAAGCAATGAAGTTATACCAATATAGGTCTGTAATGTAGACTAGACCTTACTGTCTGAGCTGGGAACTATAGCTCCCTGCTGTAATGCAGGTGTACCAATTAGGTAACATCTTATCACCATGATTGCCAAGATTTTTCATTGTTGTCCGTGTATATAGATCAAAAAACTCTACCTTTATTTGTGATGTGATAGTATGTAATTAAATTAAGAGTGGTAAGGATTAAAATATTAAAGGCAATTTTGTTTACTCTTTACCAAA